GTCCACCCCTGGACAGGGTACACTTTTGGCTGGGGATAAGCTGCAGAAGGCAATATGAACCTGAGAACATGTTACATGAGGCTAGTAGAGATCAAGGGCCAGATGTGGCCCTTTGCTACCCTGTATCCGGCCCTTGGGGCACTATTCCTCCCACTGAGACCAACAATGGGGCAGTACTTCTTCCCATGAAAACCAATGATGGTGTGCTATTCTACCAATGGTGGGGCACTACTCCTCCTCCTACTGACTGACAACCCTGAGGCCATGTTTATTCTCACTGATGCTGGGGCCAGGACATTTTCTATCCTCACTGGCCCTAACCCGGCTCTCCTAAAGTCTGAAGGACAGTACTGGCCCTTTGAAAAGTTTGGAGACCCCTGCTCTAGGGCTTAGTAAATAATATAGAGCTTCACTTTACAAAGAATACCCAATCACATGCAAGGAATAAAAAAACAGCATCTTTGATTGCACGTGATTGGATGATAGGAGCCAGCAGAACTTCTGCTCATTTATTAAGCTCTGATGAAACTGCAAAGTTGCAAAGTGCACAGTCTATTTGCCTTCAATAAATGCACCCCATAATGTTCAATATATGCAATGCTTGAGATGACTGTCAGGGACTGCATAACTAATAGAGGAAATACAGGCCAGAGAGTGTGGACAGGATACACTTTTGGCTGGGGATAAGCTGCAAAAGGCATTATGAACCTGAGAACATGTTACATGAGGCTAGTAGAGATCAATGGCCGGATGTGGCCCTTTGCTACCCTGTATCCGGCCCTTGGGGCACTATTCCTCCCACTGAGACCAACAATGGGGCAGTACTTCTTCCCATGAAACCAGTGACGGTGTACTATTCTACCAATGGTGGGGCACTACTCCTCCTCCTACTGACTGACAACCCTGAGGCCATGTTTATTCTCACTGATGCTGGGGCCAGGACATTTTCTATCCTCACTGGCCCTAACCCGGCTTTCCTAAAGTTTGAAGGACAGTACTGGCCCTTTGAAAAGTTTGGAGACCCCTGCTTTAGGGCTTAGTAAATAATATAGCGCTTCACTTTACAAAGAATACCCAATCACATGCAAGGAATAAAAACAGCATCTTTGATTGCACATGATCGGATGATAGGAGTCAGCAGAGCTTCTGCTCATTTATTAAGCTCTGAAGTAACTGCAAAGTGCACAGTCTATTTGCCTTTAATAAATCCACCCCATAATGTTCAATATATGCAATGCTTGAGATGACTGTCAGGGAATGCACACCTAATAAAGGAAATATGGGCCAGAGAGTGTGGACAGGGTACACTTTTGGCTGGGGATAAGCTGAAGAAGGCAATATGAACCTGGGAACATGTTACATGAGGCTAGTAGAGATCAATGCTATTACCCTAATCAGTTCCCACTGCTGATGCCTGAGGGCTGCACATCATTATTATTATTATTATACAGGGTTTATATAGCACCAACAGTTTGCGCAGCGCCTTACAAAATGAAGGTAGACATTACAGTTACAATACAATTTGGTACAAGAGGAAACAGAGGGCCCGGCTTGTTAGAGCTTACAATCTAGGAGGAAGGGTTGAGTGATACAAGAAGGTAATAGCTGTGTGGGGGGATGAGCTGATGGAGGAAATAAAAGGCAGTTTACTCGTTAGCAGCAGGATAGGCTTCTTTAAAGAGAAAGCTTTTCAGGGATCGTCTAAAGGTGGATAGATTAGGGGATAGCCTGACAGATTGGGGTAGGGAGTTCCATAGGATGGGAGAACCTCGGAAGAAGTCCTGAAGACGAGCAAGCGAGGAGGTGACACGGGAACTAGAGAGCAGAAGGTCTTGGGAGGATCGAAGAGAGCAGTTTGGTTGATATTTTGAGACCAGGTTGGTGAGGTAGCTGGGGGCAGAGTTGTGGATGGCTTTGTAAGTTGTTGTTAGTATTTTGGATTTTATTCGTTGGGCGAGTGGAAGCCAGTGGAGGGATTGGCAGAGAGGGGTAGCAGACACTGAACGGTTGGTAAGGTGGATGAGCCTGGCAGTAGCATTCACGATGGACTGGAGGGGGTATAGCCTATGTAAATGTCATCCAATGAGGAGGGAGTTGCTGTAGTCGAGGCAAGAGATAACCTGCGAGTGAATTAGGAGCTTTGTGGTATCATTGGTTAAAAAGGGGCATATTCTGGAGATGTTGCGGAGGTTGAGGCAGCATGATTTGGACAGGGATTGGATGTGGGCCTGAAAGGATAGTTCAGAATCCAGGGTTACCACTAGCATCCTGGCATGCGGTAATGGGATCATATACCAAAGGGCCTCATGTGGCCCTTGGGCCACAGTTTTGGCACCAGGGCCCTAGGCCATGACTAAGGTGGCGTTACTCCAAATCCAGCCTGGGGCCTTATTCAGCTGGGTGAAGAGCAATGGGCATAGGGTAATCATCCACAATAGCAAACCATCTTCAGCTATTACTCACTGAGCTATCTTCAGTAAACTGAAATCTGATTGGTTGCCTATAGCTGGCAAGCCTGTTTTGGAAAAGCAAGAAATACATTATTTAAGGGCCTGTTCACACATCTAAAGTAGGCAAGCAGACGTCTGTCCTGCAGTGCTGAGCGTTGTAACTAGGCAAGGAACTATTTACTTTTTTAAAACTTTATTGAAATGTCAAAATTACATTTCATGCATGACTATTTGCTGCAGCTGTGACTGGCAAGCTCTGGTACTTTGCATGCATGACTGCATTTTTCAGCACTGCACAGCATCAGCGTTGTGGATATAAAGGGGGTACACATAGAAAACAGTTGTTTTCTTTGTGCCCTTGTGGTGAATGGCATTGATCCTGAAAACCGGCAACCACCACATATAGTGTGAATAGACCCTAAAGCATACCTTGGGTTTGGAACAAGGCCATAGCTAGGAATCCGAGGTAAATAGGAATCTGAGACCTACAATATCTCATTATTAAAGTACATCTACATCTAATAACTAATATCTCATGTAAAATTTAACATGTTAATGTCATTTCAAAGGCTCATTTTTTTAAGGCTGTAGCTGTCATTAAAAAAAAAAAAAAAGGGGGGGGGGGGGTGGACTCATGCACTGCCAAAGATATAAAAACGAAGAAGCCGCTGACACCTAACTAGACTAGCATGGATGAAACATTAGTAGATAAGGTGATGTAGCGCTAATACCATGTGATAATAGACATAAAGAATATAAATAAAGGACTCAATATTAAATAGGTGAATACATAAATTATATGAATGGATATATACTGTAGGTGTACAGTGGTACACCTAATGTGTAGCCCAAAAACATGTCATCAAGAATGTGACTAAATATAAGTGATAGGTTATATAAGTGAAACAAATATTAACCAAATATAAATACATGTGATCATAAATGAACAATATTCATAAATCATATAGCACAAAGTCCCAAATGTATAACTGTGCTGAATCAATCTTAGACTGTGTGAAAATAAATACGTGCTGTCATTAAAAGATTACTTTGTGATCCTGCCATGTGCTTGTTCAGGCACTTCCTCTTATGGGGTGACAACTGTCTTCTAGTTGTGCTCCTGCATTCTCACCGTGTCACATGTTCCTTTGGTTGAAGCTTCTTCTGGCATTAAAAATAAAGTAAAAAATGTGTTGCGCTGCTGAAAGTAAATCAATAAATAATACCATGTGTAAAGTATAACCCCAACAGAATTACTCCACATAAGTGTAATCACAAGTGAATCCACATTTATATATGCAATCAATAAAGGTGCAAATGATAGTTCCCAAATCACTTCCACTCCAAGACAAAAAAAGTTCAAAACATTGATCTTCCAACTGGTGAGTGAGCCCACTTTCCCAGTGTTGTAAAGTTTTTAATACATCAATGTGCATCACCACACTCGTATAAAATAGACCCTCACCTGCAGGCATTGACCTACTGAATTATGACAGGTCAAGCAACGCTTTCCCCTTCCTGTGGGTCATATAAGGGTCTCTCAGTGGTTCCCCGGGTTCCTCTGTCTCTTCCACTGCCCATTACAAGATATCTATGTCATTCAAATTCACTGTACCACTGCTGTAATTCTGTAGGGTGAAGCTCAAAGCCAAATAGAAGCCACCATAGTGTAGTACATAAGGCTCATGTACACTGCAGCTGATAAACTCACGTTTAGGAGCGTTTCTGCATTTTTTTTCAGCAGCCCCTGAACTCTCCCTAATGTTTTCCTATGTGTCCATGTACACTATGTCGTTTACAGTCGTTTACAGGCAGCTGAGTTTACAGTTGTTTTTTTGAATGTACCAAACTTGCGTTCAGGAGTAGATTTTATCAGCGTTTCAAATGCCAAAAGGCTAACCGTGTTTATAAGTGTTTGCATCTGGAAAATTTTTTTTAACTCTTCCATTTCCAGATGCTGTCCAGAACCCTTTGTCATCATGAAAAATGCATGAAAAGCGTTTTCCCACTACTCATATGGACCTGATACACCATACTTTGGATGTGTTCCAGCTCACTTCTGTGCAAAAATTATTGCAGCAGTGTCTAAAATATTTTCTTTCATGCAAAACCTCAAACACCACAAAAAAAAAAAAAATAAAAGGTGGCTAATCTCAACAAATACGGCTCTCTCTGCTTCTGCTCCCTCTCTTTCTCTCAAAATGTCTGAAATAGTTAATTTTTTACTGTTTTTCAGTGCATTCTGGGCATTTTGGTCGGTCTCCTGAGGTTATCTTTAAAAAATGCTTCTAAACGCAAACGCGCATAAACGCGGTATGCAAACGCGGCTAAACAGATGTTTTTTTAACCTACGTTTTCCGGCAGTCAGTTTCCATCGTTCAGAAGTGTCCCGTGTACATGGAGCCTTAAAAACACCAACTTGTTTATTAAAAATTCACTCATATATAACTGATGAAATCTTGCTTTAAAACATAACTGCAGTGACTCCAGATAATAGCACTCAGCGTCCTGTAGTACCTCTGGTATTCCAGCTCTGACATCACCTTGCTCCTACCCAGGGGCGGACTGACCATTTGGAAACTCGGGCACTGCCCGAGGGCCCGGTGTCAGTAGGGGGCCCCATGAGATGCCCCTGGTACCTTTTTCATAGGCTTTTTTGAGTTTGGGCAAGGACACAGGGGCCCCATGATCCCCTATTGCCCGGGGGCCCCATGAGTTGTCAATCCACCCCTGCTCCTCCCTACGTGTATCGTCACAATTCACGTGACTTTATCAGGGATCCTAAAAGCTTTACAGCTTATATATATTTGTGATGAGCGCACAATCATTGTGATTGCAGCAGCTGGAACAATTGTATCCATATTATTTTATTTTAAATCCGCACACATTTTGGCAATGCACAAATCATTTTTGGGGTTATTATATACTTCTGGCATTACCAGACACACATTATGCAGGCATGGTCAGCCATTGTCACTATCAGGAAGCTGGGCTAGAGCAATAATGTGCAGCTGACAATGGGGCGAGTGCAAGTAGACAAGAAGTGGCAAAAGAAGGCTTTAGGAGATCAGTAACACCAAGATGAAAAAAAAGAGGAAAAAAGTGAAAACCATGTTTTATGAAAAAAAAAAAAAAAAAAACATGGCAAGTGTTTATGGTACACAGTGTTTATCCACTTGCCCTCCAGAGGATTTATCCCCCCTTCCTGACCAGGCCATTTTTTGCAATACGGTGCTGCGTTATTTTAACTGACAATTGTGCAGTCATGCAACATCCCACAAATAGAGCTTTCTTTCGGTGCTATTTGATCGCCTCTGCGTTTTTTTATTTTCTGCACTATAAACAAAAAAAGACAGACAAATTTGGAAATAAACAATATTTTTGACTTTTTATATTAAACATGTCCAGTAAAAAAATTTTAAAAATCAAATTTCGTCATTAATTTAGGGCAATATGTATTCTGCTACATGTCTTCACTAAAAAAAAAAATCCCAATATGTGTAAATTAATTGGTTTACGTGAAAGTTATAGCGTTTACAAATGGCGGTATGTATACTGGAATTTTTTTATACTAGTTTTATTTCTTACTAGCAATGGCGGCGATCAGCGACTTATAGCGGGACTGTGGCGGGCATTCTGACACTGGGGGGAACTGACTTGGTGTTAGTGACATCCCCAGTGACACCAATACAGTGATCAGTGCTAATAAAAAGCACTGACACTGTTGTAATGGCACTGAGCATGAAGGGGTTAATATCCGTTTGCTGTTTTACTATGTGGGTTGTGTGTGTTTCACTCTAAGCACACTGCTTTGTATGGCTCTGCTATGTAAAGCCATACAAAGCAGTGCGCAGGAGCTGACAGGGGAGAGATCTGTATTGTTTACATACAGGTCTCTCCCTGGTTGGAAATCCTTGGTGGGGAATCACTAGCCGGGACCTGGTGACTGACAGCTGAGGTCACGAATGGCGGCACAGGTAGGGCACGCGCGCGGCGTGCCCCTACCTGGAACTACAAAATCACCTATATATATGTGATTTTCTGCACCCGTGCCGCCCTGTAGCGGTATTTCTGCTATAGGGCGGTGTGGAAGCGATTATGCAACCTAAGGGGGTCATTTATAACAGAGAGCGGATATTGCACTGCTTGCGCTTGGGAGCATGCAGACTAGAAGCAATGACTGTGTCCATGCAGCTGCTGTGTCCCAATTGAAACGAATGGGCCTGCCTGCACAGGGGTGCAAGGAACGCCTGTATATCCCTGTGCAGGTAAACACGGCCCTGCATGGGTGTACGCTGTAGTCCACATTATATTCTGTTTTGGTTTGCATTCCATGCCCTGATGATTAAATATTGTGTAGCCATCTGAGCCTCATGGAATTCTCTCCACTTACCAGAGCAGAGAGCTCTATGATTGGAGGAGACTTGGTCATGTGACTTTGACTGGTTATGCGACCAGGATCTCCCTCCAGCTTGTTTTTCTTCATAGAACTGTCATTCAGTTATGTTCTACTTTTTAAATGAGCCCCATTATGTCATTCTGTTAGGGCTTCGTTTACGTTGAAGCTGAACTCCAAGCAAAACGTTAAATACGCAGATAAAATATAAATAATATATGAGAAATATATTTGCCCCCCAAAGGATTTTTATCTCCCTTTATCCAGTTCTGACATTTAAGCCTCGTACACACGATGAGAATATCGGACGATCGATTGTACTTTTTTTTTTTGCAGGCTAGTATCAGATCAAAAATGATTAAGGTACTAGAGTTATGAATATTCTCGTAAGACAGGATACAACTTCCCGCGATGATGTACTGTATTGTATTGAATTGTACTGGAATGTATTCTTTCGTTTCCAAGCATGCTCGGTCTTGGCCACTCAATTCTTTACAGACGAATACCGTACTGATTAAATGAAAACTGTTCGTTCTGGTGTCATACGAGAAAAATGTTGGTGCTTGTCCCTTCGGATAATTTCACATGAACTGTCATGATCATGATCAGCTCGGTTGGTGGTGTACCCTACGTCACACTCAGAATAGGTTTGTGCAGGGAAGGTGTGGTGCGTGTTAGACAGGACAGTGTGGACGGACGGACCCACAGAGCCCAGTGCCGGGAAGGATGGAGATGGTGATCGGTGAGCTTTTACTCCCCCAGAGCTCCCCCTGGTGACCATCCCTGTATCCAGACGAGGCTGCATACACGTCCTTAAAGGGGACTTCCAGATATAGCGCCACCCTGATGATATCTACCTACCTTAAAGAGGGATTCCGGGCAGACCTCCACTGATTAATACATTGCACATTATCCTTGCGCATCTGGTGAGTGCGCATTTTACCTATATGTTGCTGCTCACAGAACCTGTTTGACGATTGATACATTAACGGCAATAATTGTGTCACCTTGGGCCTCCATTGGATTTTTGCTTTTATTATGGACCTTTAATATTTTAATATTTTATAATGATTATTTATTGAATATTTTTTGACCCATATATTTTATCGAACATTTTATTTACCCATATCATTATTATACCATTCACTATAGAATTTTTCAGCGCTGCACTATTTTATATACGTTGTTATATACGTTATTACGTTGAAGGTTTTATGGTCTCCTTTCAGTGTACAGCTGCTTTTCTTGTCCTTAAAGCACTCTCTGACTCTCTATATGTCTTAGCTCTTGAAAGCTGCCTACTAACGATCAGATTATGGGGCGATCGCTCCGTAAATTGTATTTTTTGTCTGATTTTCTCATCGTGTGTACTAGGCTGTGCGCAGCTCCGCCACACAGCGCAACCCTGGCTGGCAATGCAGGAGACATGATTTTCCTCAACTATAATTCAAGAGTGCTTTCAGGTCTCAGGTCTTGTTCCTCCCACCAGCCTCTGAGTGGGCAGTGAAAGGAGAAGCAGCAGAGTGATGAGCTCTCCTTTCTGTCGCCCTGCTCTCTCCTTCTGTCAGTATGTTTTTTGTTAGCACTGCAGCACTGCTTTTCCCTCTACCAGTCTGAGCTTGACTGTATAAAGACTGTCAGAGCCTAATACCAAGCCAAATTCAGATACTTCTACTGCGTGCATTAATTAATTCATTTATAGGTGTATTTATAATACAGAGCTTCATTAAATTGTGTTTTTTTTTCTGCCTGGAGGGCTATATATATATAGAGCTTAAAGAAAGTCCAAAATGTCCATCAGTAAAGTCCAAGATGGGGTGGGGGAAGAAACTATGAGTGTTCACAATGGCACATTAGCAAAACAGCAGCATTAGTGGAAACACCCTCAGAGCAAAGCTGGACTCTGTATGCAAGAAAGAGAGAAGAGGGGTGTCAGACTAAGTACAGCATTAGATGTACAGTTTATTGGCACAGTAACTATTGGTAACGTACAAGAATTAAAAAAGAGATAGGCAAGTCACCAAAGACGTGGTCCAGACTCCCGGGAACTGAAGGAGGATAGAAGGTTTCCAGACTCCAGGGAACTGCAGGAGGATAGGAGGTGTCCAGACTCCCGGGAACCGAAGGAGGATAGGAGGTGTCCAGACTCCCGGGAACCGAAGGAGGATAGGAGGTTTCCAGACTCCCGGGAACCGAAGGAGGATAGGAGGTGTCCAGACTCCCGGGAACTGAAGGAGGATAGGAGGTGTCCAGACTCCCGGGAACCGAAGGAGGATAGGAGGTGTCCAGACTCCCGGGAATCGAAGGAGGATAGGAGGTGTCCAGACTCCCGGGAATCGAAGGAGGATAGGAGGTGTCCAGACTCCCGGGAACTGAAGGAGGACAGGAGGTGTCCAGGCATCAGGGTTATGGCTGGAAAGAGGATCCTGGAGGGGTCGGCCGCTGCAGGAAACCAGCATGGAATGCAAATGGCGCCGGGGTGGACATGACGTCAACGTTGGAATGTGATGACGTAGATGGGCGGTAATGCATTTTCGAAGCGGAGCTTCTTCCCATGTAACCGATCCCATGTATAAAATAAAATGACTGCAAAAACAAGGAAGCAGAGGGCACACCAGCCTAGTGCAATACCTGAGAGTTAGCTTTATTGAGTTAAAAAGAGATATTTACTCACAAATCAGTATCCAAAGCAATCGCGTCACCAGGTCAGCTCCTAAAGCATGAGAAGACCCTCAAATATCTGATGCATTTCAATAGGCGATCACCTCTTCATCAGAGCCATATATCTCTTTTTAACTCAATAACTCTCAGGTAATGCACTAGGCCGGTGTGCCCTCTGTTTCCTTGTTTTTGCAGCGAGTTCTTTGGGATTTCCCCAACCCTTAAAAGGCAGCAAGGCATGTGCTGATGTTTTTAAGGACCGGAAATATTTCCATCATTCACCACTCTTGAGCGCAGGAGGCATTTTTCTTGTTCTTTGATTATAATAAAAATGAGGCTGAAGGACACATCACGATGGTGCCTCTAGTGATGGAATAAAGTGGAATAAGACAGCCATTCTTAATTTTGGTTATATCATATACTAGTGTTGCACATATAACCCATAACATCCAAAACGTGATAATTAAACACTTAGTGAATACAATAATTGCAACTTAAAAGTCCTTTATGTGTGATATTATCTGTGCTTCTATGATATATTCCCACAACAGGTGCTCTTTATTCATTATATCCGCATATATTGTTAAACGTGCTCCTTCACCAGAGACATACATATATACTCTCACCTCCTTATATGACCCACATTGCATAGGTCAAATACCGCCTTTCCCTTTTAACCCGGGTAGGTATACTGTATAGATGGCTCCACTCTCCTGCTCACTCTGATGTACCGTCTCCTCTTTATCCCACAAATCCTCCGCATATGTAAACAGAAGCACTTGCCATTAGTGTAGTATATAAATATAGCGTGATTTATTAAAAAATATAAAGTGCGCTCACATTTAAAAGTGTCTTACTGGGACACCACAGTAAAAAACCTGGTTGTAATGCAAATCCAATGTGTTCAGGAATTTTCAAGGTGGCAGTTCGTAAACTTCTGGTTTATCAGCTTGACGTCATCAGCCCACCCTACACGTTTCGTCACGTCATGTGACTTCCTCAGTTTCCTTGTTTTTGCAGCAAGTTATTTGGGTTTTCCCCAACCCTTAGAGGGCAGCAAGACATGTGCTGATGTTTTTAAGGACCAGAAATCTTTCCATCATTTCACCACTCTTGAGCGCAGGAGACAGTTTTCTTGTTCTTTGATTATAAAATAAAATGAAACTGATGGAAACATCATGATGGTGCCTCTAGTGATGGAATAAGGAGGAATAAGACAGCCATTCTTAATTTGAGGCCAGAGCTGGCCATAGGACGTGTATCTTAGTATTGAAATCTTGATACCACCCACTTACCTTTCAGGAGATTTACTCCCCTCCCTGACCAGGCCATTTTTTGGGATACGGGATATGGGTGCTACATTACTTCCCCAATAAATCCCAATAAGTGTATACTGTTTTAGTTTGCACAAAAATTATAGCGTCTACAAACTATGGGACATATACTGGAATTTTTAATATATATATATTTTTTTATACTAGGGCAATCAAAGGGTTGAATGTGTGCCTAGCTATGTGTTTGGTGTACACTAGGTGGCGATGTTACTACAGGAAGCGGATCGTGTTCCCAGCTTTGCAGGGACACAGGATCCGTCAATTCACCACCTGTCAGAACAGAGCTCTGCCTTGTTTACATAGGCAGAGCTCTGTTCTTTCTCCTGCCTGACGACATCAGTTCACCAGAACTTGCAAATCAGCTTCTACTATGAGTGTTCACAGCAGGTTCTAGCTGCCGGCGGCGTGCACGTGCCCCCTATGGCAGAAGTGCAAAATCACGTTCATATATGTGATTTTATGAATAAATAGCGCAAATCAAACAACTCATTCAATACATGTTACATATAAATTTATAATGAAAATAAGCAATTTAAATTGGTTATTTTTCTTATAATTTTATATGTAACATGTATTGCATGAGTTGTTTGATTTGCGCTGTTTATTATTCATATTTTTTGAATGTTGGTGTATTACACTGGTGCACAGCAGCAAATTTTTTATACTGAAAGAGTTTCTTTGTGCACTGGGGTTCTGTGTCACAATATATGTGATTTTGCACAGGAGGACCACCCTTCGCTGTAAAACTGCTATAGGGTGGTCCTCAAGTGGCTACAAGATCACAGTGTGCAATGTTTAAAGTACATGTAAATCCTACCTGAGTGATATTTAGTTTTGCTTATGTGTCATTAACAATGGACATTTTTCATATTTTGCTGCATATCAACACTGCTTATCTCATTCATCCCTTTTTACAGCCACTTCCTAACTACTTGAACTTTGGTAACTACTACACATCATTGCCCAGGTTTTCTTATGGTGGAATATGGCCCGTGCAATGCACGTCAGTGTAGCCACCTGCAGTCTCCATTGTCAAAGCATGTGACAGAGTGACAACACAGGAGAACAATTTTGAGAAGGGACAGAGTGTTGCCACCCTGTAACAAGAAGTGCCTAAACCATGATCAGGGTAGGATTCCCACGAAAGCTGAAGTTTAATCTGCATTTTTTAATTTTTTTTTTATTTTTTTTTCGTTCCTCTGTCCTCCTTTCCTCCCTCATCAACATGCAAACAAAAGGTTGAGAGCTAAACCTTTCTGTTTATATTACATACCTTATTTAACTGGATCTCTGTGCTTCCCTATGCAATGTAAGCAGGTTTTGGCTGCCAGGGTGCTGTACAGAACTTCATGAAAATATCCCAGCACCTTGCTTTGCTTTAGTACTTCTCTAAAGAACCCTCATTTCTGATGTAATCAGTAGACTGGTTCTTGGGAGGAGTTTTACAAATATCAAAATGCCTTAAAACGGATCTACACTTTCTGAGCACCACAAACCAAAAACACTATTTCATTTTTAATATTCAAAGCAAACTCCCTATCCATCCATGTCTCCATGCTTTGTTGAGAAATCACTTCTGGCAGTGCTCATCTTGAGTAAGCGCAGATGATTCATGTAGCATTTACTTCCTGGAATCCATCTGCCCTTAGCTCAGGCATTGGCTGAGCTGAGAACCCTCCCTGCCCTGCTGAAGACTGTTGGGATGTATGACATCATTTGCCTAGGCATGGGAACCAGGAAGTAACTAGGAAGTAACTGAAGAAATGTAAAAAAAAAAGTTTAAAACAAGTAAATTTGATATAGCATTTTTGGGTTGTGGTGCTCAGATACAGCGCAGTTCCACTTTAATCTCATATTGTGGTGATTGGGTGCACATTACTTCAACCCCTTGACGCCAACCGCACGCAAATTAGTGGCCTCACAGAACTGGGCTTTTTTTTCCGTGGGGCCACTAATTTGCGTACCTGTCTTTCTGCTGGGAGCACAAAGAGCGGGGTGTCACTGAGAGCCCCAAGTCCCGGTTCTAATGATCGGGACCCGGAACTCCCAATTGCAGGTCACCTGATCGCTGTGATAGCCTCTGATTGGCTGTCACAGTGATCAGTCACTGTAATGCCCACCCCCCTTGTTTTCTCTTTCAGAATAGAGGAGAGAGATACATTGTATCTCTCTCTGTCCTTTCAGAGAGAAAAAAAAAACAAGTGTGCGTAAAAAATAAATAATAAATAAATTCATGAATAAATAAAACAAATAAACAAAAATACCTAGATCACGGTTTGATTTAGGTCTGTGCTAGGGTTAGTGTTTTGGTCAAGGTCAGGGTCAAAGGTCAGGGTTAGGTTTTTTGTTTTTTTGGGGGTCAGGGGTATTTTTTTTATTTTTAAATTAGTATCAGTGTCAGTTAGTAGCAGAATACAAAAAAAACAGTAAAGCGCACTATGGTTTCTGGGCTGTACTAGGGGTGCAAACAACAACTAACATACACACATGTGGTATCGTTGCGATTGTCAGGAGCAGGAGAAATTATTTTGGGTTGTGGTTTAGTGGTAAGTTATGATAGTAGCAAGAAATATACAGCTAAATTTAAAAAAAGTTTTTTTTTTACTATTTTGGGCCAGTTTTCCTTTGGTAATAAAAAAAAATCAGGAGATATCCATTACCATTCACCACCAAATGAAAGCCCAATTTGTCACGAAAAAAACAAGGTATAATCCACCAGGATGTACAAAGTAGTTGTGATGATATGAACGGTTTTGCTAAAACATGTCAAAATTGCAAAATTGTGCTTAGGCGTTAGGATTTGTTTTACCCTTAGGCGTGAAGGGGTTAACAAAGGTCATCTGAAGGGTCAGAGAGGAGCTGTCTCTCCAAAATAAGAACACTTGGGAACAAGGCTAACTGAGATTACCAGGAGCGCTTAAAGTGTTACTAAACCCATAACAGTACAATCAGTCTGTATATGCAGGAAAGCATGCTTGTTATACTTACTGTGGAGCCTAAGGGGTTAATCCTCCGTATTGTGTAAAATGGCCATTTGATCCTGTGTTCTCTGATCCTCCCCTTCTTCCAGAGTCCCCAATCCATCTGCCATAGTTAGAGCAGCAGTGGTAAGTCTGCTCATGCTCAGTTTGGTGTGTATTGCTAGAGATTTTTTTTGGGGGGGAGAGTGCATGTGATCTGCGCAGGGCCAATCACTTGTTCAGACAGAGGGTCAGGGGTCATGCAGCCTCATAGGACAGTCAGAGGAGAATGAAAACTCCTCCTAACAGATTAACAAGTGCTTGTCCGGACAGTGATAAAAGTCACAAGACTGCTATATACTGCTAATGAGAAAAGGTATTTAGCGGTTTATACTTACTAAAATAATTGAGTTTCTATGTTCTGTATACTGTTGAAGACTGGATATAGTGAATGCAGGGTCTTGGGTTTGGTAAGGGTTTAGTACGTGCCTGCCCTCTCCTCCATGTGGAATGTCAGCCACTTCAGACTTGGCAGTAAATGGAGTGATATGTTTGTATTTCATGGAAAAAGAATTTAATCTTCATCATGTGACCACACTGAACCACTTTACAGTTGATCTTGTTTTGTTAGGAAAATTAAAGGATAAGGTCATCTTTAAAGAGAAAAAAAGAAAAAGTGCACATATTTTTGCAGGTGAAGAAAATGTGAATTTATTTTTTTTTTTCTAAGGAGCCTGCAGAGCATTGCACCCGCGATCAGCAGAATAAGGATGCAATCTCAGGCTCCTGCAGGCTCTCAGTATACTGATGACTGGCAGTACCTCGAAGAGCAGGAAGATCAATGAACTACGAGAGCGCTCACCAGTACCCTCGCAGTTCACTGAGAACCTATGACACGGCCGTGTGGGCGGAGCCCTGCACAGCCACGCACAGCAAGTGCTGGTAGAAAATCCCCCGCCCACTGTCATAGTGGTAGATCAGAGGGGCGTAACATGTAACATATTACCAAAAGTGGACTTTTCCTTTAAACTGAACATGTGAGGTGCATACATGCTAAACAATAGGTAAGGATAAGGACTCATGCACATTGGGCGTTTTTACAGCGGCTGTTCTTGGCTTTTGGCGGGTTTTTTTTTTGACAGCCAGTAAACTCCCCAGCATATTATCCTATGTGTCCATACACACTTAGTCCTCATGCACACGGGACGTTTTTACAGCTGCTGTTCTTGGCTTTTGGACTTTTTTTTTCTACAGCCAGTAAACTCCCCAGCATGTTATCCTATGTGTCCATGCACACATAGGCTTTAATCAGCGTTTTTTGGCGGGGGCGTTTTTTGGCTGGAAAAAACCCAGAGGAGGTTTTTAGCTGTAAAAACGCTCTAATAGTAAAATGCGGCAAATCTGCGTTTTTTAGACTTTTTTTGAGCAAAAATGTTTTGATGTGAAAAAACGCTAAAGACCGCAAATGCAGCTAAATGCTAATGCAAAAATGCTAAAAAAACAATGAAAAACTCTTCTTTTTAACGTGACTTTACACAGTTAATGCTACCAGCATTATTAACCGCCTCCCGCCCATCATATAGTAAAATGACGGGTGCGAGGTGGTTCTCTCGTTCTGGGAGGACGTCATATGACGTCCTCCCATTCTAAACACACATGCGCGGCTCTGGGAGCGCGCAGTGCAGCGATCGGTGGTGCGCTGTGTCCCTCGGACAGAGCCGAAGATGTCGGCTCGGTCATGTGATCAGCTGTGTCCAATCACAGCTGATCACATGTAAATAGGGAAATGCCGGTTATCGGCATTTCTCTCCTCACGAGCTGTCACGCTGACAGCTCAAGAGGAGAGAGAGAGAGCCGGTAATCGGCTTTAAGCGGAGGGGAAATGTACACTGATGATCAGTGTGCCCTGATGATCAGTGTAGCCCCAGCTGTGCCACCTGTCAGTGTCCATCAGTGCCACATCAATGCCACATTTTTCAGTGCCCATCTGAGCTGCCTTTCAGTGTCACCTATCAGTGCCACTTATCAGTGCCAGTCAGTGCAGCCTATCAGTGCCTGTCAGTGCTGCCTATCAGCCCGTCAGTGCCCGTCAGTGCTGCCTATCAGTGCCCGTCAGTGCTGCCTATCAGTGCCCGTCAGTGCTGCCTAACAGTGCCAACAGTGCCAGTGCCACCTATCAGTGCTGCCTATCAGTGCCATATATGAGTGCTGCCTTTCAGTGCCCATCAGTGATGCCTGTCAATGCCCATCAGTGCCACCTACCAGTGCCTCCTCATCAGTGCCCATCAGTGCCACCTATCAGTGCCCATAAGTGTCACCTATCAGTGCCCATCAGTGCAGCCTCATTAGTGCACATCAGTGAAGGAGAAAAATCACTTATTTACAACATTTTATAACAAAAACTAAAAAAAAATAGTTTTTTTCAAAATTTTCTGTGGTTTTTGGTTTGTTTAAGAAAAAATAAAAAATCCCAGAGGTGATTAAATACCACCAAAATAAATCTCTATCTGTCAAATGATAAAAATGTCATATGGGTACAGTGTTGCATGACCGTGCAATTCTCATTCAATGTGAAAGCTGGAAATTGGCCTGGGCAGGAAGGGGGTATAAGTGCCTGGTAGGCTAGTGGTTAAAATGCGCAGTGTGCATGGAGACTAACAAAGTGCATTAGAAGCTGCACAGCTCAGGTAGAGCCCACTATATTTCCTGGCTGAAGGACGTCCATCACCATCTGGTGTTTTTTTCCCCACCATTACTGTCCCTGGATCGCCCCTTTTCATTCGTTGGATTTCAGTTCTAGCACTCATGGGGTGCATTCGGGTAAAAAAAAACAAATGGTGTCCTTGTGTACAGACCTATATTATTATACCCGCTTTCCCACCTCCCTATAGCAGATATACTGCTACAGGGCAGCAGGGGTGCGCAATATCACGTGTATATAGACATGATTTTGCACTTTCGGGTAAGGGGTGCACCGCCATTCTTTTGTGTAAAAAAAGCTGAAAATGCTAACGCAGAGAAATGCTGCTAAACGCTAAAAAAAACCACGGAAAAACTAGCACTGTGTTTTTAAAATGCCCAGAGTGCATGATGCCGAAGGAAGCATTTCTGCAGTCCTCCCTCCAACTGCAACATTGTAACTTTATAGCAAGTCAGAAGGTTAGAGGCTGCAACAGGGGCTGATTTGTGTCAACCTAGAGCTGCATAGGCACAAGAAACATGACTGTGTCATCTCTGAGCCAGCATCTCAGTCCAGGGAGCAGATGCCAACTCTGGATGATGCCTGAACAAAGATGGTGTTGTCATTCTGGAGAGAAAGGCAAATGAAGACGTTGTCATGGGGAGTATTGTGATCTCTGTGAAAGTTAAAAACAACTAAGAAGCTCACAGTGTGCAGTGCGATCAGAGTAAGCAATGTGAGTGCAGGAGAGGAGCCGATACAAGACTGAAGGGAAGGGCAGAGTTCAGATAGAAAGGCCCTGCTCCTTGGAGCTTACAATCTAAGACTTCCCACAAATCGTCAAAGCTCGAGCTCACCTACAGAATAAACTATCCAGCTTACCTTGAGGTGGGTGATTTTTTTTTTCTCTTTGAAAGTTCACTTTAAAATTAGGCTGCCATTGCCAAGTAATCAGCAGTGGAAAATACGTGGTGTTGGTACCTTTTATTTAAATTTCCTGTGGATGGTCTCATCTATTATTCTACATAGCCACTAACAGACCAAATTTTGTGCTACCGGTACTAATGACACTACTCTGGACACTGATAAACAGCCCCTTTGTCTAATCCAGCACATTTTCTAAACATGCCCCTTTGGGGGCTAAAATCGGACCTAAGAATAATCGGCGGCCGATTTTCGCTCTGTTAGTGGGGCAATGGCATCGGCCGATTTTCATGATTCGGGCATGAAAAATTCGTGAAAAACGTTTTTCGGGTGGCAATCGGATCGAAAACGCGTGTTTTCGGATGGTTCGGAATTCGAAGCGTGTATGCATAAGGTCTTGTTTGACTGAAATGCTGTGGGACTCTGTATGGGGGGGGGGGACTCTGTATGGGGGGGGGGGGGGGGACTCTGTATGGGGGGGACTCTGTATGGGGGGGACTCTGTATGGGGGGGACTCTTTAGTAATATAGTAGTATTTACTAACAGTGCTGTCTAAGGCTACCTTTACACGGCTTCGCTGCGGTTTGGCCACAGCACAGGTGCAGCGCAGTGTACCAGCATTTTTTTAGGTGCGGGTTACTCACACTTTCCAATAAATTTGCACAAAAACCTTAGGCACACAGGCACATGTGCTTAAGCATTGGGCACGTTTATTGCTTAATGCATTGCTCAGCAAATCCCAGGCGCCAGGTTGCCATGGCGACTAGACATTGTGTCCTGGTTCACACATAGGTGTACTGAAATGTTGTTCCAGTTTCTGAGCGATTTCAGTACAGGTGCGATTTTGTATCTCTCTCTTTCACAACTGCCTCCCATTGGCTTCCATTTCAAAATCGTGTCCCATTGGCTTCAATGCAAAATCCCCTCCCATTGACTTCAATGCAAAATCGCCACCCATTGATTTCAATGCAAAAAGCGCCTCTCATTGACTTAATTGCAAAAACACCCCCCATTGACTTCAATGCAAAAACTGTCTCCCGTTGACTTCATTGGATAAACGCCTCCCATTTACTTCATTGGAAAAACGCCTCCAATTGACTTCATTGGAAAAACGCCTCCAATTGAATTCATTAGAAAAACGCCTCCCATTGAATTCAATGCAAAAACGCCTCCCATTGAATTCAATGCAAAAACGCCTCCCATTGAATTCAATGCAAAAACGCCTCCCATTGAATTCAATGCAAAATTGCCTTCCTTTTGACTTCAATGCAAAAATGCCTCCCATTGACTTCAATGCAAAATTGATTCCCATTGACTTCATACCAAAAACGCCTACAATTGAATTTAATACAAAATTGCCACCCATTGAGTTCAATGCAAAAAGCGCTTCTCATTGACTTAATTGGATAAACGCCTCCCATTAATTTAATTGGAAAAAACGCCTCCCATTGACTTCAGTGCTAATCCTCTTGTCAATAGCAATCCTATGTGAACACTTATCTCCACATGCCACTCTACTCTATCGCTTGCTAGTCTGGAACGCTCCACTATAAAATCGCACAGGACCCTTTTTGTGTGTGTGTGGATCGCATCTGTGTGAACCACCTCAGTATGAACACATAATATCTAGCCTATCATGCGATTTTGTGAATTTGAAAATGCAATCGGATATGTATGAACCCGGGCAGCTCCATTCACACCTGGGTGTTTTAGGATCACGGTAGAACTGCGATTGCAAAATGTAGGTTCAGGTGCAGGGGCGGACTAACCATTTGGAAACTCGGGCACTGCCCGAGGGCCCGGGGTCAGTAGGGGGCCCCATGAGATGCCCCTGGTACCTTTTTCATAGGCTTTCTTGAATTTGGGCAAGGACACAGGGGCCCCATGATCCCCTATTGCCCAGGGCCCCATGAGTTGTCAGTCCGCCCCTGTTCAGGTGTCATTATTTTCAATGGCACCTAAAACGTGGTGTGGTTTTACCGTAGTTGTCACGCAGCAAATTGCATCATGTGAAGCTTATCACCAAAAGTTGCCTTGCCCCGGCGCGCTGACAACCCACGCAATGCCTAAAAAAAAAACTTTTTTCAGCTGGCTCCTAGATTCAAATCAAATTTGTCAAGCCCTAGCTTAAGGCTTCCTTCATTTCAATGGCCTTAATAAATGAATATTCTGCCCAATGAAATGAATGAACGCCAAAACGCTGAACGTGTCTAACCGTGCCCAAACGCGTTGGAAAAAAGGGGGGGTTTTAATGCTGCTTTCTCCTGCCAGGAGAAAGACATTTAGAGGAGTTGCGGTGTGCATGTGGCCTAAAAGGGAATAATACTTCAAGAGTTTCAGTCCAAATATTTATTTGGCAAAGAGTATCAAGCAAATCCAACTCGTTTCGGGGGAAATGCCTCCCCCTTCATCAGGGCTGAAGTAGTGGATATGATTGGACCATCAGTAAGTTGTGATTAGGATACTTGTGATTTAGGCTTCATCTGACTTGCCAGAATTGTTAGCTTGAGAAACCCCTTTTGAGGCAGAGAGGCAGCAGCCCAGGACTGGAACAAGGTCTGATTCTCCACGGCACAGCCCCTTTGGAGGAGGACTCACTCTGGGTCAAACCCCAAAACACCACTTCTCACTTCCAATTGTCCAGGGGTAGGCAACCTGCGGCTCTCCAGCTGTTGTGGAACTACATTTCCCATGAGGCATTGTGACATTACAAAACTGACAGTTACAACTATGACTTGCAGAGGCATGATGGAACTTGTAGTCCTGCAACAGCTGGAGAGCCACAGATTGCCTACAATAGTCCAATGCTACCGTACACAGAGGCTCCAGCCTCTATAACCACTTGCCACGTCCACACTAGTTTTATCATGAGACAGCCAGCGGTGCAATCCCGTGACCACAGCGCTCATTACCTGGCTATGTGACCGCTATGATTGGTCATTACAATTTTAATAAACAGTCATGACTAGTTTCCATTCCTCATATGTAAAAAAGATCAGCGAGCGCTTATAAATCGTACAGCAGCAAATTGCACCAAAAAGGAACCTGTAACCTTCAAATAGCAGATGTGATAAGAAAGTGCAGCGCTATGAATTCAATCAAAAATAATGCAAATGATGAAGATGTGAAATTACGTAAAATACAAAATGCGTATAAACCAAATTATAAATAATGTGACAATGTGCATAGAATAAACTTATGAGAAATCAAATGAATAAACTGATTTCAATAAAATAATAAAATAATAATATAATTATTATTCTACAGTATTTATAAAGCGCCAACAGTTCGCAACAGCGCTGTACATTACAATGGGGGACAATACATGAGACAGCACAATAACAATACAATGCGATACACATTGGGTTCGAGGGCCCTGCTCCTTGGAGCTTACAATCTAGGAGGAATATAATAAAAACATCCAGTGTATGTGCAAAATTGTCCTTATTTGTGAAGTAAATCTTGTGCTCATAACAAGAAAATCCTGTATTCAGGTGAAGGTATATTCTATGTGACCAATATTTTATTCGGTGAAGT